AAAGCAGTATCTTTCTGATGAAATTTTTTCACTTTGGTTGTGGGAACATGAACTATTCCAGGACTATATCAACTTCAGGAATTTCTTTTTGGTGGTTCTTTCCCTATTCTTAGGTATGTCCTGATATACTTGTGCCGATCAGTACTCAGCCGAAGACTTGGAAAGAGCCCTCTGCACATCTCTGAAGCTCACTCTCCTTGGTATGCAGCTGCATTCTCTCTGGTACTTTTCCTGGCAAATTGTAGGCCTCTCCAAATTCTCAATTGTCTCCTCAACTTAACAAGGCTAATTAGTTCTATTTGGATTCTACCTTCTGCATCACAGCCTGGAACCTGCCCCTAGGCAGTAATTTGGGACAGTCATGGGGCTCACCTTGTTTATTTCCACCATCCTGTGCTACCTATTGTCCAACATCTAAAATCCATCTTTCATTTATTTTTTCCATTATTTTCAGTTATTTTAAAGTGGAAGAGTAAATGTTTTCCTCACCGTACTAAATGATACAGATTACTCAGTTGCTCAACCCAAAGGCTCCATATTTAATCTACCACCAAGTCATGTCAGTTCTACATTTCCACTATTAGGTTAGGCCTCATTTAATCTCACCTGCACTACTATGCTGACACACTGGTTTTATTCTTGCCTCCTAAGTTTGTTTTCCATAACCACATGAATGAGCTTAACAATGTAAAAACTATACTTACATCATTTCTACTTAAACCCTTCCTGGCTCTCCCCATGGTGTTCTCCAAAGCCCTTTATTAATCAGGCCTGCCTCCCTTTCCAACTTTATCTTACTCATCTTGTTCTTGACTTCAGGGATAAAAGCATTGATGGAACCAATCCAGAAAAAGGGTTCTCATTGTTCAGGCCTTGTTGTACAGCCAAAAGACTGGCAGCTGGTGTTATCTTTTCCCTTCAAGGGTTGGGGATTTAGTAGCTTCATAGATAAGGGAAGGTCCTGATCATAAACCCAACTGCATTTGTACAAAACAGCCTATCCTTTCCTGCCTTATATCCTGGTGCTTGCTTCTCTTCGTTCCTAATACATGTCCTTTGTGGCATTTTTTCCCACAGAATAGGACACTTTCATTTACATTAAAAACCTATTAAAGCAAATATCATTTCTTCTCAAGGATTTTCCTTAATGGCATCTGAGAGCTTGTCTGCTGCCTCTTGCTTTAAGTTGTCTTATAGTGACTTTGCTTTTTCTCAAGTCATATAATCTATAGGTATACCTTTATTAATAGTAATCCTGCACCCACATAAAAGCTGCATTTTCAGTATGAGATTAAAAGGTATTTCACAAAAAGTGTGAGGCTTTTGCACCTGCTAGCATAGTGCAGCAGTGACTTCATGAATTTCCTTTTTTCTTTAATGATCCTTATGTCAGACTCGTTTATCTTGAAATGGTGAGCAATCGCAGATTCATACCTCAGTCTATAGCACGTAGCAAGCAATTAACTTTTTCTTGTAATGTCATGACTTTTCTCTGCTGCTTGGGAGCACTTCCAGCATCACTAATGGCACTTTATATGGGTCTCATGGTGTTAATCAAGGTTTACAATCAGCATTAAACATGGTGAGAAATATGCAAGAACTGTGAGAGATCACTTTTCACAGCAATATGCAATTTACTAGAGAGAGGAACTGCTCACAGGAGATGATTAACCACATGGCATTTTAAGTGGATACTCCCAACACTTGAGCTCACTGCAATAGCAACAGGACATGGCTTTGGAATTGTTACAGTAGTATAGTATGAACTATAGTTAATTTTATGTAGTTATAATTTAATACTGCATCTTTACATGTCTCATGGCTGGTACAGTGTACAGTCTGTGCATAAGTGTTGATACGTTTTAACTTTTTATAATTTGTGTATATTTTATGGCATTAAATAATAAAATAGACTATTACCTATATTTTATACATTCATGACATACCTAACTTTTTCAAGTTTTTTTAAATTTCTTGGCTATGTGGTTTGTCTGAGTTTTTAAAATTGTCATAAACTCCAAAAATTTTCCAATATATTTATAGAAAATTCATGTCTAAGTGGGCCAGACAGTTCAAACCTGTGTTGTTCAAGGGTCAGCTGTAATTTCGTGGTTCTTCCACCCTCAGTGCTTCATTAATCCCTGTGTAATAATTTCTAGGAACTTGGGCTTTTGTTTGGATTCTAAAAAAGGAATAGCATTTTGGTAATGTTTACTTGTTACTGAGAACTTAAACCAAGATGTAAAAACAGAACTAGATCATGCTATTTATATATTATTTAATTGGAATAGTAATAACCAAAGAAGGATAAGAAAAATACCTGTTGACTTTTTAATCTGCTGTTGTATTGGGAAAAATTGTCATGAGAGAGCTAATCTACAAACATCCTAACTATGTATAGTATGGTCCATTTATAATATAAACATTTTGAAAAGGTGAATAACCAAATACTTGCCTGACTGGAATATGGTTATCGTGACTCTCAGAGACAGGTAGAAAAATTCTAAATACCAGAATGTCTGTCTTACAAAGTACAAGTTTATGGGCTTATGTTTTTTTTAGGTTCATTGTATTTAGAGGCAATTAGGCCTGTGTGCTGTAAAAATAACCTTTCAAATTAATAAAACTAATTTTTGAAAACTTTTAGATCTACATACTCATAATTGGCCAGGTGAGTCTCACTCCCAAATACAGCGTGTGATTTGGGAATATCAGGAATTCATTATTCATGTATTCAAATCTATACATGTATTGACTAGTAGTTTTAAGTAATCCTTTGCTTCTTGCAGTTATTGGTGTCCATGCTGAATAATGAAGTTTGAGGTTCACAAATGTGTGATAGTGCTATACCTTTCCTGCAGCATATCCTGAGCATATAAGCTGTAATAACGTATTTCATTATTAACAACAAATGGTTGTCCTTTATTAAGAACAAGTAGGTCTTTTGATTTATGAATTTAATAGCTCTGGTTGACTTTAATGCAAATATTGCAAAATAGATACCCACTGAATTCTTTGTCAAAATGCAGGTTTAGGCTAAATTAAAGCTCTTGGCTATGTTTTTCTTTTGTTTCTTGCTTGCTTGCTTTTTTTTTTTTTTTTTTTTGGATACAGGCTCTTGCACTGTCACCCAGGCTGTATGTAGTGCAGTGGCATCACAGTTCACTGCAGCCTCAAACTCCTGGGCTCAAGCCATCTTCCTGCCTCAGCCTCCCAAGTAGCTAGGACTATAGGTGTACAATACCATGCCCACCTAATTATTTTATTTTTTGTAGAGATGGGGTCTTGCCATGTTGCCCAGGTTGGTCTTGAACTCCTGGCCTTAAGAGATCCTCCTACCTCAGCTTCCCAAAGTGCTGGGATTACAGGCATATGCTACTATGCCCACCCCCTTTTTTCATATTTTAATGTATAAGTGAAAAGATTCAGAGTTTTCTATTAGATTGAATTCCAACTGTTTATAAGCCTTCCCACTCCCTTCTTATACTTAAGGCTACTTATGTGGCAACATTGAAAAAATATATATGCAAGTTAGTGGATATCTTAATAGTTTAAGATAACTAAACCAAAGATTACAGATTTCATGTAATAATTATGGCATACTTTAAGTCATTATATTCCTGATAAATTCTAATAGCAGAACTGAAAAACAGCCATCTAAATAAATATTATTGTTTAAAACCAGATAGGTTTTAGGCATTGGAGCATGCCATGATGAAGTAAAAGTTGCTCTGATGTATTCCTCATACCAGACTGAAATGTCACATTCTGTAACAAGTCTATGTATACACCAATGTTCCTTAGTTTCAGCAGCACACTGGACTGAGCTTTAACTTAAACACATTTTTGTGGAAGTCATAAGTCAGACTGTCATATGATTTAACTAACTTGTATACTCACTGCTTTCTTAAAACCCAACTTTGAATGGTGGACATATTTTTTTTTCCTTTCCTTTTTATTAAATAAAAAAATTTTATCTTTTTTTTTCTTTTTCCCCAGAATTCATATGTTGAAGAATGGTGGACATATTAAACCCAAAATTCTTCATTTGTCTGTTTAAAAGCATTTGGCTTTTTGTTGCTACGTGAGAATATCTTGCTATTAAACAAGGAAATAACAGGATATTCTCATGTAGAAATAAAGAGTCAAATGCTTTTCTGGGCCCAAGACTTCTGAAATAGTTGACCCTGTTCAAAAGCTGCTTAGTCCATAACGATTGATATAATAGGATCTTAGCCTTCTAATCTCACTAGTGAGACAATGTAATAGTATTCCAAACGTTTTCTGCCTGTTGTGACCAGTAAGAAAATATGTCCACTAAAAAAACAACAAAACTATTTTCTGCCACTTTCTGTAACCTATGATATCTCCACTGTGAGGCCTGGGAACAAGGGTATTGGGTTTATTTTTAGTGTGAGTTAATGCAATGGTAGGTAGGAATTTATTTTTCCCCTCAAGAGTATTAAATTAACCATGGTCTTGAGTTAGGTTTTAGGCATTTTTCATACCAAGAATTTAATAAAATCAAGTCAGAATGTTTCATTCTGTAAGTATAAAACTAAAATAACCTTTAAAAATAATGTGACTAGTCATAATCTGATGAAATAGTATTTTGTGACTTTGTGGTAACTGGACTTACAGTACTATAGCCATTATAAATGTCTAGTAACTGAATTGCCAAGAAGTCTTCTCTCCCTGACAGTATAAGAAAGGATTTTTTAAAGTAGCAAATTATTTATCCAAAGCTATTTTCTTTACAATGAAAGATGAAAAACAGGTATAATGATACTGAACTCTTACCAGTGTTAGGGTTTACATATAGATAAAGTATAGCTATACAGGTAAAATCATCATAAGAGTCTTCCTGATTGTGGGACTTTGCATGTTTGTTACTTGGAGGGACAGACCATGATGGGAACTAGCTTCACCATTGGAAAGCAACATTAAACAATCTGACGGTAAAAGAAATGCAAGCCATGAAATGTTTTTTTTTGTGTGTTTTTTTTTTAATGTCTATATAAAAAATAACGAGCGATTTACAGATCTTTCTCTAATCAGAACCTCAAGTGTATATATAAAGGTACTGTACAATATATAAACATTTACAGCCAGTACATCCATATTTTGCTCAGCATTCCAAGGCCACATTGCTAAGTCAGTATATATTCAGTACAGTGACAGGTTACTTAGGAAGAGCCACATCAGACTGACAACATATGACATCAGTTATGTCACACTTAACAATAAAAGGATTTATATCACTAATTGTGGACTATAGGGAAAATAAACCATTTCTGTGATACTAAATTCTTAACATTTATCAAGCCTCCTAGATTTGCTCTATTCGAGTAGTTACAATAGGTGGGTAAATATAATTCTGGATGAAAAGAGGATTTCGAAAATCTCACACTGGGAAGCATGTCTTATCTATAGGGGCTGATACAGTTGTTACATCAAAGAGCTTCACAGTCAGACTTTCAGCGGGAAGGACCTGGACATAATGTGTTTCACAAGATGAACCCAGGGTGACAGAGCAAGTGTCCATAAAATAGGTTTATTCTGAGAATGTGCCTTTATTTATAGATGCTACTTCAGGGGACTGAAAAACCTGGATGTACTTTATGGAGTTAACTATCTCCAATTTCCAACAAACACCTTTTTATTTAGACTTTTAAAAATAATTCTGAAAATTTGTATAAGCTAAGCAGATATTTAGTCTCACTTTCTTGTTTTTAAGTAAGAAAGTTAATGTAGCTAAAAGTTAATATTAACTAAGCTCCAGCAAGGACTGTCTACCACATTTGTCCTTACTTGCTGGCAGGCCTTACACAGGTTCTGCTTCTAAACATCCGAAACTTAAACATTTGCTACCAGAAGAGTTGGTACTTTATCTGTCCATGGAATGTGAAACTGGTTTCATGATAGAGTCCCTCACATAATCTATATCATTTTGACTCTTCAAATCTGTATTATGTATTAAAAGCCAATGTCTTTCGTAGTAGGTACAACCAAAATATCCAAAAATAGATAGTTGATAGTTTTTCTCTGAAGAGCAATACACACTATTTCCACATGCTTCTTTGTGGTTTCATAATGAAATAACTGAAATAGAAAGGGTGACCTGAGATGCTATAACTACATCAAGGTTGGAATCACAGCAGGAGGTAAACTCTATTACTTAAAATGTAAGTACTTTCTCATTTCGAACATTCAATTGTAAGTAATAATTTTAACAGTTATTTGAAACACCTTATCTAGCCAAATTAAAAATAAAAAGCCATAAGAAAGCATTAATATTTGACTATATATTTTTCCCCTTAAAAGTAGTGATATTTTGGAGTTTTATTTTTGAACTGGGACATCATCAGCTGCTAAAAGAGATGATCACCATCTTTAATGATGAGTTAATCTCTTCTGCAAGGACTCAATATTTCTCTCTGTAAACATGCAACATGCTATTGAGAACAACTTCCAAGCCAAACCTAACTTTTTCATTACTGTGGAAATAGCTGAATGAGAAGGCTAAAACAGACATGATACAGTAGGTAACTTGGCACAAATACAAAGTGAGCTGTGACCACACCGTGAATATCAACATATGTCATTTGTTCAGACACTCCATGAAGACGAGCCGGGCAGCCTGAGCAGGGGGTGTGAGATGAGCGCGTGGACGCAGCTCCTTCCTGAGTGCGAGGGAGGGCAGCCAGCCATGGGGACAGTTGGTTCTTAGCAATCCTAAAGGCCCCTCATGCAGCCTAGGTAACTTGGTGCTCAAATTAAAATGTACTTAAGTGTTTCAGAATTTCTGAAAAAAAATTTTTTTCTGGAAAAATGCTTTTTAGTAAGAAAAGATTGCAACTTGTTTTTCTTTGTTTTATACTAAAGGTCACAGCCGCTTCTCAGCCATACCAGTAGTACCTGTGACTTTATTTGCACTCGGCACCTTCCAGGGCCCTGGAGTTATTTGTGTTTTCTTAACTGGTGAACTACATTCAGGTTTGAACCCTCCAGTCTCTCTGTTTTTGTCAGCTGCCTCTAGTTCTTTCCCTTTGTGACCTTCTATTTTGTTTAAAACCATTCTCTCTTCAGGTTCCTGCTTCAGCTTCTTTTCTGATACTTGGACATTTTCTCCTACTTTATCTTTACTAAAACTTGTTTCTCCTGTGATTGCTTTCTTTCCTTTTTCATTGTCAGACATGACTCTACTAGTAGTGTTATTAGTCTTTTTGGATGGAAGGGACTTTTCGTCCATTCTTTTGTTTTTCTCTGGAGACTTTGTTCTGTTTTTTCCCAATTGACTCTGCTTTGCATCTTTCCTGATGACACCTGATTTTTCTTTGTCATCAGCCTTATTGTTAGTATGGCCTATTCTTTGACTCTCACCTAATAATTTGGCTTCAGCATTTGATGGATCTTTGCTTCCTTCAATTTTTTGCTGCTTCTTTGGGCTGGAAGAACGTCCTCTGCTTTTTCTGCCATGATCTTGTCCAGAACCTGCCTTGGTGCTGATCTGACAACTTTTATTCTCCCCTTTCCTGGGGCTCAGCGATCGCTCTCTGGGTCTTCTTTTGGGGTCATTTGTTAGAGGACTAGAAATCGTTTGCAAATGTTCTTCTGTATACCGACTGGATGACTTTTTGGGACTAGCAGATCTACCTCTTTGTCTAACACCGTTTTCTACTTTTAGTAGATTTTTCTTGTCACTGTGCCCATGACTGTTGGGTGGATCCCGCTTATTCACATTTTTCTGGAGAAGAGACTGATGCTTCATTTCAGACTGATTTTCATTTAAAGTGCTTTTCTTTTCAGGCACAGTGTCCTTTAATTCTTCTGTCTTTCCACATATCTGAACTTTCATTAAAGATTCTTCAATTGCTGGCACGTGAGACTCTTCAAATATGGAAGCAGAATGTGAAGATGGGGGAAATGGTGACTGTTCATCATAAATCACACTTGAAGATGAAAGATTGTTAATATCCCAATCACCTAAAAAAGTGATTTGAGTGGAACATTATTAAATTTTAGAATTATAAATAGGAACAATAAATTTTGAACTTTGACAGCCATTTGCATTGTACTGACTGCTTAAACAGCTTGGGTATGAATATTTTATACAGTTTGTATATGTTTACATATCTCTGTAAAGGCAGATGTGTATAGACATCTGTTCATACTTGAAAGGAAGGTTGTTTATAGATACAAAATAACAGTATTTTTCCAATTATGTATAGTTGAGATAATATATGATCTGTAAATTCTTTATTAGTAAAGCCCAATCACAAACTTAGAAATAATAAAATTGGACCAAATTACCTGGTCCAAGAAGCTTACTAATTATCAAAGGATACAGCTTAAGAAAATGACAAAATCACTAATTAATAAAGGAAACCAAACTGTGGTAACCAGAATAAGGTTCATGGGCATTTGTAAATAATTTTATTGCATTAAGCTGTCAAATTTAATGTCAAAAGGAGACTGAAAAATGCAGAAGATAGAAATAGATGTATTTAATAGCATCATTTTTAATTAAAAAGAAGACAAAAGAAGGAAGTGATTTACAAGACATGCAAATTTACCAAGTCTTTTTAAGGAAAGACCAAGAAAAGCCCTGAAAGCCTTAATGTTGCTCAGGTTTCACGTAGGAGCACAGACCGGAAGGAGCCAAACCTGAAGAAGGAAGAGAAAAAGCCTAGGACTATGTGAAAAAAAATCAGCGCAGTTAGCAAAGATGTCACTGGGAACGTATGATTTACAAGCAGATGGTGGAAGGTAATATAGTCAGAGAATCGTAAGCTGCAAGGGGACTGTAGGAGGTTATGTCTACACTTATTCCTCAAAAGCTCTGTGGTGGGTTTGAGGCAGGGAGCCAAAGGAGACAAGTACTGCTTTTATTCTAGAATAGTGCATTCAATTAAAAAATAGTGATTTTCAAATACTGTGATATTTCAAAAACACAATGAACAATACAGCAAAACCAAGGGAGGTTACGATCAGTACAGGAGTACAGACATGGTCTCAGGTCCAACTCCCTTGTCTCCAGGTAAGGCTATGGCAATTTGGTTTTGACAGGTGACCAGAGACCTTAAAGTTTTTATGCTACTTACTCATACGGATATAATCTTATTAATACTTTACAGAAATAAATATTTGTTGGTAATGTGTAATTAGCCAAGGAAGGGAGAATGCTAGGATATTCTGAAGAGATTTAAAATGTTTTTCATGATAGTTGTTTGCCTCTAATTAATGTACTTGCTTTTTACAGGCACATTTCTCTACAAAAGCAACTATGTTTTCTGATGAAATCAATTTAAAAACATATTCCATTCCAACAAAAGTTTTGCTTGAAGTCACTTGTTTTGTAATACTATTATGATAACTCTGTAATTAGCTTTTGATGGTTCTGATATTCACCTCTGAATTAGCTAGTAAAATATCCCCTTCAAATAGATACTCCTTTTTGTTTTGCCCCCTCCCTAACACACGATTTTTTAACTACCAGTGGTCTCCTTTACTTACCGTGGTCAGGTATCAAGCCAGTTCCTGGCCTCAAAAGAAGAAGAACTTTATTTCCACCAGCCTGAATGAGCTCAATTGCTCGAGTATGTGTGATTCCTTGGGTTGGTTCCCCATTGATTTCAACAATCTGGTCACCAACCTAGACAGGGAACATTCATAGCAACATGAAACTGTGCGTCCTTCAATTCTGCTTTTCTCAACTCTTGAGCCATTCAACCTTGCTACATGACTCTATTTCATTTATAGAATACTTCACTTGTACACAGTGCTATCATGCTAGAGTTGATGAGAGGACAGATAGTAACAATAGGAAGCGACAGTGTCTAGTTTTATTTGCTCTATAAAAATCCTACATGGAAAGTTCTATATGGCTAGTAAGTCAGGATCTGGGTATCTTGAAATCAATAATCAAATTCTGGGTAAGGAGCAGTGGCTCACGCCTGTAATCATAGCATTTTGGGAGGCGGAGACAAGTGGATCACTTGGGACCAGGAGTTCAAGACCAGAATAGGCAACATAGCAAGACCCTGTCTCTCAAATAATGAAAATAGCTGGGCACAGTGATACATGACTATAGTCCCAGCTTCTCAGGAGGATGAGGCAGGAGGATCTCTTGAGCCTGGGAGTTTGAAGTGGCAGTGGGCCACAATGACACCACTGCACTCTAGTCTAGGCAACAGAGTGAGACTCCGTCTCAAAACAAAAAACAAAACCCTAAAAGAATTAAGCTTGGAGACCAGATTATAGTATGAACATGTAGGAAAATAAACATAAAACTAGGAATCAGAATAAGATGTCTCAATACCACTGCTATTTACTAGAAAAAGGAAAAATATGGAAAAGTGAAGTATAACTTTTACAAAGGACCTGATGAAAAATAATAATGGTAGTGATTTTCAAAATCTATTTCAAGATGACATACAACTGAAGGATTGGCTTAAAAACAGAAACAATGGAATATTACTGAAATTCCAAAAACAAATATTATAAATATAAGAGTTTACTAAAACAATCCAGAAATAACACAACAGAAGAGGACTTAATTACTTAACCAAGGTCAGTGGGACAACTCTATCTTTAGATACAGCATGGCACAGGGATTAGTAAACTGGGCTTTGGAGTCATAATGTCTGTGATTCACATCTTGAGTCTACCTCTTTATAGCTGAGTAGTCTCATTTTCCTCATCTATTAAATGAGAATATTACTATCTACCTCCTGAGGTGGTTGGGAGGATTTAATGAGATAAAATATGATTACACATCAAGCAGAAATGTTAGTTTCCAAATTACTTTAAAGTGTGTCATTATGAAGATTTAACTGTACACTTACACCTCATTCTATACAAAGCAAAAAACTTCAAGTAAACTATGAAATAGAAAATGCTTTGTTACATATTTATTTCAAAAAGTCTCACTCTTGAACAAATAAGATATCAGAAACAAGATTGATGGATTTAATATATAAAATGAAAATACCTTAAAAAAAAACAAAGTAAGATAATAAATAGGATAGAGAAAACTAATAAAGATAATTAATAAAAAAGTCCTTACTATCTAAACTCTATAAGCCAATACCTAGATTTCCCTTGATAAGTGATGGGAGAAGAACCATTTCCATAACTAAATACAGATGATAAATTAGCACTAGATATATAATCCTACTGATAAGAAATGAAAATTAAAGTAGATCATTTAATTTAAATGAAAATCAAACTAAAATATGCCCACATCATATTTTGTAAAATATGATCAAGGTTATAGTTAATTTCACATTCTTTGGATTAAATTATACTTTTTAATTCTTTTAATACTGCAAATAAAATTTGTAATTGAACAGATTTGCCACCAGGTGTCATTTTTGTTTAACTTAAAAGTAGGGGGAATACAGGAGACACATGGCTTTAAGATTTATGATAGGCTCTTAAGGGGAAAATAGTTCCGAACTACACAAAAGTAAAGATAAAAAGGCTTCTCTGAGAGGAAAATGTAAACATTCTCTTAAAATTTTAGGTTACTTTAAAAATTAAAAATGTGATAAAATAAAATGGAGAAAATAGCTTTGATAAAAATTCAAGTTCAGTTTTGTTTTTTTGAGATGGTCTTGCTTTGTCGCCTAGGCTAGAGTACAGTGGCGTCATCATAGCTCACTGTATATGATGCTGATCAGCATGGATGACAGAGTGAGATCCTGTCTCTTAAGAAACAAAACAAAACAAAAAAGACTTTAAGAAGATTGCTTGAGCCAAGTATTTTACACGGGGGACTGCATTTTGCAGATGAGGAAACAGAGGTTCAGAGAAGTTACCTAAGAATACACAGCTACAAGGTGGCAGAATGACAGTTCTATCCTTGTGTCTGATTTTCAAATCCATGTTCTCTTCACTCTATTAAATTGTCTTTATAAAAAACTGAGGCTGGACCCACCAGTTCTTGATTAGCTATACTAACAGCATTTGATCATTAGTCATAAACACTCTGCAGCTCTGGTTCTGTGGCTCTGCATTCTCACCCTTCCTGTTTCCTTAGCTTCTCCAGCCCACTAATTACTCCTGCTCAGAGTTCTGCCCTTAGCCCATGACTCCCTAAATCTTTAGTGATTTTATCCACTGCAAAGGCTTTAGTCATCATTTTTGTCTGAATAATGTCACAATCTGGGTCTCTACTACTAGTTCTAATTGCTGCTAAACATTTACACCTATTCAATTAGCTGCGCCCTCCACCTCAAACATACTAACACTTATTACACCATCAGTCTATGCTACATCCTTTCTCCCCCAGGCCTCCCTACTGGTTTCTCATATACAGACAGGGCAAAGCCTCTGAGTCATCTTTTACTCTTCCTTTTCCTTCATCCCTCATTTAACAAATACTTATCAGTCATCTACATTGGTCCTTTGTTCACTGACAGCTGATCTCATATGTTATCTCCTATGTTCTATCCCAAGTGTTGCCATTCAAGTTAAACTCCTACCACTACTACTATATGCATAAATTATAGCCTCCCCTATTCCCTTCATCCATCCTGACACACCGCTAACAGACTGTATCTGCATATTGCTCTGAGGGGAAACTCTTGGCTCCGCTCAAAAGCCTTCCATGGCTTCCCACTGTCTAGAACCTCCATACTGGTGACCCATCCTACTTTGATATTCTCATTTTCCTATACACCCCTATGAAATCTAGGTAACTTCAATCAATCAAAGTTCTCTGCTTATGATTTATTCTTCCTTAGTTTTATCCCATTGCTCATTTTTCAGCCTGGAATGTTTTCTCTCCTTAATCTCTCCCTATTGAAATCCTTCATACCTTTCAATGCCACCCATTCTATAAAATCTTCTCTATTTGCCCCCTTTGAACTTATGCATATGTCTGGTCATTCTGAAGAAAGATAGTATCTTATTTTTTTGGATCATCCCTTCTCCCAACTCATTCAGCACCAGGCATAAAGCCTTGGGTAGCACAAACACTATATGTTTATGAAATGAGTAATAGGAGTGAAGTGAAAATTTCAAAACTGCAATCACCCAGAAGCCTTTTAAAATCATTATTATAATATACCATCTAATAATTCACCAGAATCATTTGCCTTTCTAGTTGGTTTACTTAGTTAAAAGTTAAGGGAACTCTTTTTTTCCCTTTCCCTGATGCCTGTTGATAGCAGGAAAGGGAAATCCAAAATTCTTAGACTTTTCTTAGAAAATTTTTAGTGCATAAATTAATTGAATACCAGTAAATTAAGTATTTTTTTAAAATTTTGGACAGCAAATGTCTTCTATATAAGATTCCTCTGTAATTAACAACCAGAGAATTAGGAAAAATATCTTATGCAGATCTATAAACAATTTGATCTGCAATGCCCTGTACAAAGTCATAGTGTTTCAGAGCTGAGAATACCTATGATAGAATATTACTATGAGAATACCTATGATATAATATTCTAGTCCTTCAAATAATAATAAAGGTTGGAAGGGTCATGCTTTTCAAACTCTGGTTACCTTTAGAAGTAGCCAAGAGGGTGAAAAAATCCCAAGCCTGTTGTTTTTTGGAAGAAACTGAAGATTCTGTTTTATCCTGTTTTTTTTTTTGTTGTTTGTTTTTTGGTTTTTTTTTTTTTTTTTGAGACAGTCTCACTTTGTTGCCCAGGCTAGAGTGAATGCTGTGGCGTCAGCCTAGATCACAGCAACCTCAAACTCGTGGGCTCAAGCAATCTTGCTGCCTTAGCCTCCTGAGTAGCTGGGACTACAGGCATGCACAACCATGCCCGGCTAATTTATTCTATCTATATTAGTTGGCCAATTAATTTCTTTCTATTTATAGTAGAGACGGGGAGGCTGGTTTCGAACTCCTGACCTTGAGCAATCCGCCTTCCTCGGCCTCCCAGAATGCTAGGACCGGCCAAGACCCTTAATAAGATGAAAGTATATCTATTAATCCATTTACCTTCAGATGTTGACTATGCAAATAAATGATTTTTCTTACTGACCAAGGTCAAGAAGGCAAAAGTAGCACATTGAAGAGATGAAATTATCAGGGGTTATGACAAGCAAAATGATAAGCATTTGCCTTTTAGAGTTTAATGATAGAAAATCCTGCTGCTTAGATTCAAGAGGTTTCTACAGTCCCTTTAAATCAATTATTTTTTGAAGTTTCTAGTCTACAGCCAGAACCAAAGATTACAGACAGAAGTCAACTCACATGAATTCTGCCATCTTTGATGGCAGGACCATCCTCAGCAAGACGAAGGATAAAGAGGCCCATGTTGTACTCCTTTCCCCCTCGGAGACTGAATCCAAAGCCTCGGGGGCCTCTCTCCAGCTCTACTGGATAACATCCAAGGCTCTAGAGAGAAAGAAGTATAAGAGAAACAAGTTCTCATTGATTGCTTTGTTTATATTTTGAAGAAAGACTATTTTTATAGTTGGGAGAAATGATTTATACTCTCAATATGCATTTCTATATCATAAGGAAGGAATGGAAGTTTGGTTAAAGGGCTCATTTTTATAAATGCAGCCTAAATTAATCTGAGGATTATATATCTTCTCTACTAGTTGGTCAATGTGCAGTGGAACAATCAGAGAACAGAATTTTGGAAAGTGCTTTAAGTGTATTTTTGGGTGGGGAACCTGTAGCTTTGGGCTACATGTGGCCTTCTAGATCCCTGAGTGTGGCCTTTTGACTGAATCCAAATTTTACAGAACAAATCCTTTTAGGATTTGTTAATAAATAAAAACTTCTTGCTTTGATTAGCTAAAATACTATTTATTTCTAAGTACTTAACCAAGTGTTCAAATTTCTCCTATTTATAAGGTAAACTTTTATTTCACTTTAACATTCTCTCATGGAAGCTAACAATGCCAAACACATAGGTCTTCAAGAATTATTAATTTTGGAAACAATTTATCTGAACTGATTTGCAATAAAAATTCACCAATGTCAGTGATACAGCAACTCAAAATATCAGTCCACATCTGGGGGATATTTGTTTACCTGAGTGTGCCGACTGCCTACAACTGAAATCACTGCAGTGTCAGGTTGTGCAAGGTGCTTGTGGTCAGACCATGAATGTCTGTAAGAAGTGGAAACATCTTTTCCAATTTCACCTTCTAGGACACTTCTATAAGAGAGAGAAATCAAGTCATTCTCTGAACACAGAAAATGGAAAACAGGCTTAAAGTAAAGGCCGATTGGTTATTTTCTTTTAGAAGATGAACACTGCCATTCTTCCTCTGACAAACCACTATGAAGACAGACTATATCTAGAACCAGAGAAATGCAAGGAAAAACCTGGTCATTAACTCCAACACAGCTTAAAGTCTGCCACATCCCAATTTTTTTAAGGGCATCTCAGTGCAGTTTACATCAAGGAAAACTGCACTCAAATAACTGAATCAGAGGGCAGATAAGTTGACCTTGTCACAGTGAAAAGTGACTCTCATGTAGCACCAACACCGGGGAAGATGCTGAATTTCTGGAAATCTGGTTTTTGTTTCATGGCTAACATTTAACAAAAGAAAAAAGAAATACGTGCAAAATACTGCTCTGCTCAGGCAGTCTAATACAGCAGTCCATGTAGGCCTGGGGCTTTCCTACCAAAATTATGTGGACCAAGAGTAGCAGAGCCAGATGCTACTGTCACTTCTTTCTAATCCTCACCTGTCAGGCATGATTGGATAATTATGTTGTACCTTGGATGGGGTCTGGGAAGAAGGATGAGGATATTGAGGGGGTGGAAGGAATAAGGAAGGAATCTGAGGGTGAAATAGGCAAGAGTTTTCGGTTTGACCTCAACAGCTGGCTTCTGCATAACTGCAAGGGAGTGGTGTGGATTATGAACAGTGGAGAGATGAGAGCAGCCCCACCTGTCCCCAGGTATGTGGTTGGCTTGTGACTGTCCCATGGGCCTGTGCTGCAAGGCTGGGCTTTGCCTGGCTGAGTTTGTTCCGGATGGTGGACCATGATGCTCTGTTCAAATGAGAAAACAATAGAAATAAGAATTTGTATATAAAAATATGAAGGCCAAGTAGATCTATGAAAGTGATACAATTCCAACGCTTATTACTTTACAGACTTTAGCATGAATAGTATCACTGTCAGCTGTCTGGAATTGGAACATTAACATCTTTTTCCCTGTGGTTTTTGATTAATGTTTCTGTTTCAAGAAAACAGGAGTCATATACCTCCTTTCCCACTTTCACCTTTGTTTTGGTCATCCATACAACATGAAAATAAAAAATGAACATACCCAATAATATTTATCTAGAAGACAGAGCTCCAGAAATTATCCTGTAGCCTCTTCTATGAGTTTCCATAGCATACTCCTCATAATTGGTAAACCATTATAGATAACAAAGGTCTTAGGAATGCTGGCACACAGAGGCCAGTCTATACAAACATCTTTGAACCTTCATCTTTAATATAGGAGCAATTATTATTATTAAGTATGAAATGTCTGATTTCCTTAACACACTGACTACCACACTAGAAAAAAATGTTTTTCCTTGGAGCCATAGTGTTTTATTATGAAAACAGAATAAGAACTTTGAAAACAAAATGATCCTTTCTAATTTAATGAAAAATTTGTTATTTTTTATTGCTTTCTGTGTGTGAATTATATGCAACTCGAAAAATAGTTCTCGTGGCTCCCAAGGTACAGATATGTGTGAGTTACATATGCTTCATGAAGCCATGAGGACAAAACTAGCATAAGTTAAATACAACTCACATAACAGTTAATGTTTTAGTACTAAGTTTGACAGTTGATATCTCTGACATTTCACTTTGACACTTCTTGTTTTATTATTGTTGTGAAAGTACATCTTCATTCTTTCAAACACATGGTTTGGCTTGTGATTATCTTTCAAAAAAATTTTTAAAGCAATTTTTATGAAACCATAGATCAGTCAAAAATTTGTGTTATTTTCGAATATGAGTTCCATTATGGAACGAGTGCCCCACAGACAGCTCAAAATATCAATGAAGTGTTTGGGAAGGATGTGGCTGATGAACGCCCAGTACGTCTATGGTTTACATAGTTCCATTCTGGTGATTTTAATCTTGAAAATGAGCCACGTGGGTGACTTGAGACCAAGGTGGATAATGATGAGCTGAACTGTAGTGGAAGATAATCCATCTCAACTTATGCATGAATTAGCAGCAAGGTTTGATGGTACTATTCCAACAACATTGGGCCATTTGAAACAAATGGGTAAAGAAGCTGGATAGATGGGTACTACATGAATTAAACGAATGTCAGAAGAGAAATTGTCTCAAAGCTTGTCTTTCTTTGCTGTCACAACATAAAAGCAAACCATTTCTATACCATATTGTTATGTGTGATGAAAAATGGATTCTTTTTGACAATGACAAGCATTCAGCACAATGGTTAGATAAAGATGAAATGCTGAAACACAGTTCAAAACCAAATATTCATAAAAAAAAAAAACATTACGGTGTCTGTTTGGTGGTCCAGCACTGGTATTATCCACTACAGCTTCATGAAACCTGGTTAATCGATTACAGTTGATGTCTACTGCCCCCAATTAGACAAAACGATGAGGATGCTTGTGATTAAGCAGCCGAGACTGGTTAATCCTCTCACAAGACAAAGCTCAACCACATGTCACACAAACAATGCTGCTCAAGCTATGGAGGCTAGACTTGGAAATTCTCTGTCATCCACTATATTCACCAGAACTTGCACCAACTGACTACCACTTCTCCAGGCTTTGGACCAATTTTTGCAAGGAAAAACACTCAATTCTCAACAAGCTGTGGAAAACGCCTTTCGTGATTTCATTGCCACTCTCCAGGATTCTTTGCTGCTGGCATAAACAAGCTACTGTTAAGATGGCAAAACTGTGTTGATAGTTCTGGCATGTACTTTGATTAATTGTACTGCTTCTTGTTTGAGATATAATAAACTACTTTTGATTGAAAATCAGACATTTCATACTTAATGACCTAATATTTTTACCTGACGTGAGTACCAAAGGCAAACTTGTACTTCATAGCTAGGCAAAATAACTACTTACATCTAGAACTAGATGGCAAGCCATGGAAAAGGACAGTTAAAATAGATTCTTAAGGCTGTCAGACTCATATTTTTAAAGCTGAAATTTTGAACATTTTACTCAGTCCAAATATCAAAGCACAGGATATTTAAAATATCAAAGACAGGGAGCATAGCTTAGTGACTTAAGACCATGAACTCTAGAGCAAGATGGACAGAGTTTAAACCTGACCCCATCATTTATTAGCTGTGTGTTCTTGAGCAAATTAGTTATATCCTCTGTGCTTCTAATTGTCTCATCTTTCAAAGGGGAATTATTGTTACCTCACTGTGTTACTGTGTTTCAAATGGGCTTATAAATGTACATGTTTATAATAGTGCCTGGCATATAATATTCACAATATAAAGTTCCTATTATAACTATCATCATTATTGTCACTGTCATCATCATCAAAATGATACACTGCATTTGTGGCTGCATTTCTCCTTAAGTGTGTATTCTAAAATATTTACCTTACTTAGTAAAAATGTTCAATATAGAGGCCATTTTAGGTTAGAACATGTGGAAACTGATATAAACTGAATCTTGGAAAATAATGGAGATAAAGTCTGATGTTAAAGATAAGAGCTATGAATGTTAGGGCAGAAATTTCTATGGAGAAAGCTGAAACTTCAACCTTTACTACATGCATCACTATTTTATGGCTTGGATTAAGTTGTAACTTTTTAAAGTTCTATGGTACTAAAAACATTGATAAGTAGCTTATTTTTATTTAAGAACTTCTTGTATCTGGAAGCTAGAGAGTACTCTAAAAACACAGGCAAGAGAGTAAAAAGTGGCAGGAAGACAGAGAAATGGTATATGGGTAGGCCAGGTGGCCCCTGAGGATTTCTAATGCTCTCCAGCTGCAGGCTTGTGTGTTGACACGGACTTCAACAATGTGTACCAAAACTAGAGGTATAGCACCAACTGCTGGACCAGAACTTATCCAGAGGATTGTGTTTCCTCTTTAAAGTCAAGTATTCCAGAAAGGGAGGGCAGGGATGGGATAGGTGATGAAACTTTTTCTTTTTTTGTGGGTAACCTGGAAATTTGTTTTTCTTTTATATTGCTATCATGAATCTTATTTTCTCAATTGACTTAACAAGTTACTTATATTGGCCACCTAACTAGAGTCTCCTTGCCACCAAGGACTTCAGTTCTAACACACAGGTTAAAACATGGCACTGCTTTGCTTTTAAGCAGGGTTTTAAACCTACATTGACATTTTCTTGCTCATAAGAGATACTATACAACCTGTCATCTGGGGACTCCTGCCTTTTCATTTCACCTCATGTCCAAAATGTGAAATCCTGGTTCCTTAAAGCACACTATGATGACGATGTGTTTACAGCATTTACCACATTGTGTCAGAAGAGCTAGCTGAACACCTGTCTCTCCTGTCCCTCGATTGCAGGAATCACACCTCATTTATCTTTACATTCCTGTTACTCACTGGAAATTCCCAGAAGTTCTTCCACCTTTGCTTACTGGGTATGTCGATTGCAAGTTACCTGTATCTAAACTCTATGTCCATTACAGAGCTGAATTATCTTCTGTTAAGGAGATGGAAACTGATGGGGAAAATTATATCTATCAACAAGATGACTGGGAGATACTTGTATCTCTGTGTGAGTCTAATATAGGTAATTTATCAACTTTACAGCTTGGCTATAGTAATGTGTGTACAACATCAGAGCAGAACAATATAATAATCTGACCAATTTCAAGTTTTCCTCTACCTTCCCTTGAAGATGAGAGATGTCACTTCTAGGCAAAATGTACCACAAACTGGTGCTTACTTTTAAAGTTACATGTGTTTTGTTGTCCTCATCAAGGTTAAATAAAACTCTCCATTACTGATATTCTTTTCATTTTTAGTCCTTCAACCAATGCTACATGGCTTCTCCAATTTATTTGTTATAAGCTACATTACTTCTCAAAGTTAGGTGTTTATTCCATGATGTCAAGCAGGCCTATGTTCTCTCTGAATATTATCTGAAAATTCTTGAAATAGTAAAGCAGTGGGTTAAGTATCTCTCTCCCTCAATGAGAATTAAATTTTTGCTGGAGTTTTTATAAGTACAGGCATCCCATGTTTCATTGCACTTTACTTTATTATGCTTTGTAGATATTGCATTTTTTACAAATTGAAGGTTTGTAGCAACCTTTTGTTGAACAAGTCTGTCAACACCATTTTTTCAACATCATGCACTCTCATGTTTCTCTGTCATTTTTGGTAACTCTCATAATATTTTTAACTTTTCCATTATTATTATATCTGTTATATAGTTATATATCTGTTATCTGTTATATATCTGTTATATAGTGATCTGTAATCAGTGATGTTTGATTCCTGTACCCACTGAAAATTCCCCATAAGTTCTTCTTATCTATCTATCATTGGTTGCTAACCAGGTATGTCAATTTCAAGCTACTTCCTCTAATTGTTTTTGGGCACCCTGAATGATGCCCATATAACACAGCTAACTTAATTGACAAATGTGTGTGTTCTGACGGCTCCACCAACCAGCCTTCCCCCATCTCTTTCCTTTTCCTCAGGCCTCCCTGTACCCTGACACACAGCAATATTGAAATTAGGCCAGTTAATAACCTTACAACAGCCTAAGTGTTCAAATGAAAGGAAGATTCACACATCTGTCACTTTAAATCAAAAGCCAAAAATGATTAAGCTTAGTGAGGAAGGCATGTCAAAAGTCAAGACAGGCTGAAAGCTAGGCTTCTTGCACCAAACATCTACCCAAGTTGTGAATGCAAGGGAAAAGTTCTTGAAGGAAATTAAAAGTACTACTCCAATGAACACATGAATGATAAAAAAGTCAGACAGCTTTATTGCTGATATGGCAAAAGTTTTAGTGGTCTAGATAAAAGATCAAACCGCCACAACATTCC